GGTTAAGGAGGTGCTCTTCATCTGAAATAATGGCTTAGAATTTTATCCTGATTGTAGTAGGAAATGATTAGAGAGTTTTAAGCAAGAAATTACAAAATGTGATTCATGTTTAAAAAAAAAAATCATTGTTTTGTGTGATGACTACACTTACATGCACACAAACACAAGCACCCAAGTGGTAGCCAAGAGACTTACTAGTTAGCAGATTAATTACTGTATATAGTCAGAAAAACTCACATTGTTTCTTAAACAACAACTATAGGCTCATAGTAAAAAGAAAAAGTGTTTTCTGTTACATACTCATTTGTTCCCAGCTCTTGGTCTTTATAAAAATGTTTGTGATGTTATCTACATAATGCCCCCAACATTAAAACAACCAGCACATATATTTTGTCTTCAAGAAGCCAAGCCACCTTAGCTGGTGTTTTTATCTTGGGATATAGTGGGGAAATAAGATAGGAATCCATTTTTGCATATAATTTTGTTGATTTATTACAACGTATTACCTATAAAGGCCCAGTATTTGTTATATGTCAGTGTTTACAGAGTTTTAGAATCATGGCCATATAAAGTTGTAAAAAATTTAATAATAAGTCACCATTTAACTGGTATTCAAGGAATGTCCACTGCAGCAGCACATTGCAAATATTAATGTGCTTGTGAATTACCTGGGATCTTGTTGAAGATGAAAATACTGATTCAGTAGCTCTGGAGTGAAGCCTGAGACCCTGCATTTCTAACAAGCTTCCATGTGATGCCCATGCTGCTGCTCCACTTTGAGTAGTAGGGTTTGAGAGCATTCCTAACAGATGTTGCTACCAAGGGAAAGATTCTGTTACAGTTTCTGCTTTTTATTTTGGTAATTTCAATTGTCTTTTATATACACAAATAAGTACTCTTGAATCACAACCATGCTAAAAATATATCCAAGCTTGTATGATTTTTTTTTAAAAAATGTACACTAAACTAGCATTATAATTCAAAGAAACTTTAAAAATTAGATGTGGTGGCATAGTGCCTAAGGCATTTGACTGCTAACCAGAAGGCTGGCAGTTCACAGCCACCAGCCACTCCTCAAAAGGAAGGTTGGGCAATCTACTTCCATAGAGATACCGTCTCAGAAACCCAAGGAAGGATCGCTATGAGTCGCAATCTACTTGATGGCAGTGAGTTTGGTTTGATAGGATCTGAAGAGTTTCATATTGAATATAGGAAACACACATATACATATATATATATATTCTGCATCCATATTAAATAATACAAGTATGCATTAAAAAAAAAAAAAAAACACTGCCATCGAGTCAATCCCAACTCTTAGCAACCCCATTGGGTTTCCAAAGCTGTAAATTTTTACAGTAGATTGCCTCATCTACTTCTCTGTAAAGCAGAGCAGATGGTGGGTTTGAACTGCTGACCTTCTAGTTAGCAGCCAAAAATGCCTTATCCACTACGCCACCAGAGTTCCTTACAAATGTGTGTACCTCACATTGAATTATATTATGTGGCACTGACTCAACTTTAACATTTACCTTTATATTAATTTTTGTAAGTATATAAAACATTGAAAAGTAAAAATTCAGGCTACCCTATAGATATAAACTTAAGTCTAAATATAATGTTGCCACTTGGTTTCAAGCACTGGTTGAGTTTAATTAAGTTGAAGTGGTCTCTGTCATTATCTTTAAAACTAGATTTACTGACTTTAATATTTAGCACATACTTATTTTTCACCTTAACTCTTATTTAATTTAAAAAAGTTATTACTTGAGAAAGCCAGCTAAGCAATGATGATTATAGTGTATCAAAACCTACTGTAAGTGATTATTTTAATGACTCTGTGACAACAAGGATACGTAGACATTCAGACAAAAAAACAATCTAATTATAATGACAGCACCAAAGCAAAGCTGTGACAGTTACAAAACCAATTTAAAAGTTTTTTGACAGCCATGGCTAAAAGCTTTGTTTGGACCTTTCAATAATAATAGTTTACTTAAGACATAAATCCACAGCTAAGGAAAATAGAAAGAGAAAGTTTTGGCTTTTCTGTCATGCAGATAAAATGGAAATCAGTTGAAATGTTTTTAATAGAACATTATGTTGAAGAGTATAGAAAAGAATAATAGTTACGGAATTTAATTTTCACAATGCAAAAAAGACTAAATAACAATAAAAATTTTAATGAGAATAAAACCTTGCCGACTGATTTGCTTATCCATATAATGAAAATCAGTAGTTACTGCTAGTGAATAGATGGGCATTTACACAGGTTGATTGGCAGTTCTGGAATTTGATTTGTATTACTATAAAATAAAGTTCATGGCACATGGATATAAGAATGCATGAATAACCATGGTGACATGAAACCTCAGTAAATATCTCCTTTCCATTGATTCTGACATCTCTCAAATTATTAGACTCTTATCACTTTTATTCATCTTAGTTGGGTCTGGACTCAGGCAGATATGCAACATAATTGATGCTTTGACCTTGGGAAAATAACTCTTCATTCCTGAACAGAAAAATACCTGACTCATAGAGTTGTATTTACTTATACTGCAAAATGTATAGAAACTTATAATTTGGCATGCACTGTTTTAGTACTTTACAAATATTGACTCATTTAAAATTGATAACAATTGTTTGGAGTAGGTACTATTGTCTCCACATTACTGATGAGAAGAGTGAAGCACAGAGAGGTAATATAACTTGCCCAGGGCTACAGAGCTACTAAGTGGTAGAGTAGAGTTTCAGTGCCACAGCCCATGCTATTAATCATGACTATTATAATGAAGTCTAAATGAAACAACATAGGCAGAGACATATAGACACTATTTTATCCTACACTCAGATTCTGTTTTAGTTTGGTTCTCTTAGTTGCAAAGACTGAAGAATCCTCATGTCATATCATGTTGTAAGGATACCTGTCTACCAAAAAAAAAAAAAAAAACTAAATTCACGCTGTCAAGTTGAATCCAACTCATAGCAATCCTTCCTTGGGATTCTGAGGTGGTATCACTATGGAAGTAGATTGCCCAACCTTCCTTCTGAGGAGTGGCTGGTGAGTTTGAACCACCAGCCTTCTGGTTAGTAGTCAAATGTCTTAGGCACTAATCCACCATAGCTCCTGTCCACAAGTACTAAGAAAAGCTGAACAATGAAGCCTCAAGAAGAGGACAATATATGCTTATTATAGTTGCAGTTGAGTGGTCTCTAACTCATGTCAATCCCATGTACAACAAAATGAAACATTGCCTGGGACTGCCCAATCTTCAGCAATGTTGGTATGCTCAAGTCCGTTGGTATGGCCACAATGCATTTTGAATGTCTTCCAACCTAGGGATCTAATCTTCCAGCACTATGATGGACAATATTCTGTTGTGATCCCTAGAGTTTTCATGGACTAACTTTTGAAAGTAGATTACCAGGCCTTTCATCCTAGTCTGTCTTAGTCTAGAAGTTCCACTGAAATCCATCTACTATATATGGCCATGCTGGTATTTGAAATCATGGTGACATAGCTTCCAGGGTCATAGCAAAATGTAAGTCATCTCAGTACAATAACTAACAGATGAGTAGTGGCAATACATGGTAGCCACTATAATGATATTAATTATTTTTGAATGCCTAATTATCTCTATCTCACTATAGGCAGTAGACTTGGATCAGACTTGGGGAGAAATCATGGTTCCACCTTTAATAATTGTGTGACAGTGGGGAAGTTATTTAACTTCTATGAGCTCCAGTTCCCTTATCTATAATATTAAAATAACTTCCTTGTGCTATTATGAATACATCTACTCCTCACTTGTTGACTATCTCTTTATCTGACATTTTGCATTTAAGACAGTAGTAAAAAAATCTACTATCTGACTATTTTGTACATTAATGACATGTATCTGGCAGTAATGAACACCAAGGTGCAAAGGAAGAATAACACCAGTAGTGCTTGTCAAGGTTATGTGTCAACTTGGTTGGGCCATGATTCTCAGAGGTTTGGCAGTGATATCATGATGTGATTTGGGAGTTATGTAATGATGTAGTCATCCTCCATTTCTTGATCTGACCTGATCATCCTTCATTTTCACATAAAGCTGATTTTCACATAATGCCCTGATCTTTGGAACCTAACCATGTTGGTAAATGAGGAGTGAGTATATTAAATTAGTTAATTTATGTAAAGCATCTAGAACAGCATACCATACAAACAATATGAATGTTAGTTATTAGTGTTTTTGTTGTGTGCTGTCTAATCAACCCCAACTCAATAGCAACATGAAGCCTCAATAAATATTTCCAGGATAGAAAAGAACTGCTCCATGGGGTTTCCAAGGCAGTAATCTTTATGGAAGCAGATTGCCACATCTTTCTCCCACAAAGCCACTGATGGATTTGAATCACTGAGTTTTGATAAGCAGCTGAGCACTTAACCACTGCACCAGCAAGGCTACTTTAGTTATTAGTTGTAGTATAATTTTCAATAGTATTTGTGACAGTAATAACATAACAAAGAAATAGATCTTAGGTCTCTTCCACTTTTCTAGAAGGGTTAAGACCATCTCTAAGATGGTTTCATTTGTAGTAACTTCTTTTCCTAACACAGAATAAAACAATATTTGTTTTCTGGTATCCATTTTTTTTTTTAAAAAAAAAAAAAAAACCTTTCTTGGTATCATCAGAATTAAGGATAAAAATTGCCTATGCAACAAATGAAAATTAAGATGCAAGCTACACAGAAGTCAAATGAATTAACTTTTCCATTTTTAACCAAAAGTCTTTGAAACCATCTCCCCAATCGTTCTTTAGCTGCCTGAAGAAAAGAATGCCTTTGCATACATTATTCGGCAGTAATTGATATTCATGAAATTATCTTAGCAGCACAGTTTTTCATATCAGCATATCACAAAAATGTTGTAAATCAGGGCCTAGGCACACTGAGTATGTTTAATCATAAGGTTTATTTTTCTGATAGGCATTTATCTATTTTTCTTCCTCAGAAAATGATGCGGTCGTCAGTTTTCCACATGTTTATCCTGAGCATGGTGACTGTGGATGTGATTGTCGCTGCTAGCAACTATTACAAGGGAGAGAACTTCAGAAGGCAATACGATGAGTTCTATCTCGCAGAGGTAAGCAATTCCCTGCAGTGCAAATCACTTCTCAAAGCAAAGATGAACCTCAGACAATGCCTTTCATACATGTGAAAATTAATTTCTATTCATAAATTAGTTGACTGGAACCAAAGCTGATTTACTGTCTGCTTATAAGTATGTCCTTTAATTACTAGGTTACCTGATTCATTTCCCATCACCAGGACTTTAGTAATCTTCCCCACAGTAGATCGTGTTACCAAGGCAAGCCTTGTTTCCTGGGTCTTACTCTTGTGATCTTGTTGCTTTCCTCTCCACCTCTCCTTTCCTGTGTTGCCTAAACCTGTTTCTAAGTGTAAGCAAATATATGTTCAGAAGACTGTAAATAAACACATCAGTTCAACACCACCAACATGAGTGTTGGGGGGAAAATTTAAAGACGTAATGCAATAATTACTGAAAACAGATGTTTCAAGCTGCTATAATGGTATCACCTCAGTAACAGGTAGATTTAGTGATTAAATAAGCTCAATAGTCCCCAACACACTATAGTATATTTTTGGAAAAAACTTCTTATTGATTAACTTTGTTAATATTTGATTCTTAAATATTTTCATTATTTCCAGAGACTACTTTTTATACTGAGTATAAAATATATTTCAGAAAATATGAATAGATAAATAAAACATGGGTAAAATATATTTCAGAATTCAATGAGACATATATATGGAAAAATTGATTGGCATTTAACTCTTTAGAAATCCATTCATCACATAAGTGAGGTACACCTATCCAGCTGTGCTACACTTCAAGAAATTCAATATATGAAAAAGTAATTTAAAAAGCAGAAAATTGCAATTTCATTATTTTTATTACAAAAATATTTTTCATATAAAAAATAAATTTGCTTTTAGGTACCCAGAATTCTCCCAGTGCATTTGAAAAATAGATTTGGTTAATAAAACTTCAATCAGCTCACACACTTCTTAGGGAAAAAAAAAAAAGTACATATATCTGTAGAATATAAACATCTATGTGTATATAAGGAAACTTTTAAGGAGTCATTTATGAATTCTAATCCTCATGGAGTTCTATTTTCTAAATGAAATCATTAACACTAAACTTTAAGTTGAGGAGAACTTCTGTGATATGATGCTGCCTATTTGCTACCTGATAAATGGAGCATGTAGTCACTAGATGGCACAATTAAGTGCTTAGTTACTAACCTAAATGTTGGAGGTTTGAGTCCAACCAGAAGTTCCTGTGAAGAAATGTCTGGACATCTGCTTTCAAAATTTCAGCTATCCAAAACTGGATATCCATTTGCAGAAAAATGAAACAAGATCCATACCTCACACCATACACAAAAACTAACACCAGATGGATCAAGGACTTAAATGTGAAACCTCAAACTATGAAGTTCCTCAAGAAAAAAATAGGGACAAATTTAGGGCCCCTCATTTATGGCATGGGAGCTCTGGTAGCATAGTGCCTAAGGCACTTGACTGCTAACCAGAAGACTGGCCGTTCAAATCCACCAGCCACTCCTCGGAAGGAAGGTTGGGCAATCCTACTTCTGTAGTGATACTGCCTCAGGAAACCAAGGAGGGGTCATTATGAGTTGGATCCGACTCAATGTCAGTGGTTGCATTTTTTTTTTTAATGTCAAGCATAAGCCAACATGCACAAACAGCTGAAGATAAACTAGATGAATGGGACCTTCTAAAAATTAAATTTTTATGTGCTTCCAAAGACTTCTCCAAAAGAGTCAAAAGAGAACCTACAGATTGGGAAAAAAATATTTGGCATTGACATATCTGACAAGGGATTTATCTCTAAATTTATAAAAACTCCAACACCTCAACAACAAAAAGATTAACAATCCAATTAAAAATGGGCTAAAGACATGAATAGACACTTCACCAAAGAGGATATTCAGGTAGCCAGCAAATATATTAAGAAATGCTCACAATCATTTGCCATCAGAGAGATGCAAATTGAAACAACAATGTGATACCATCTCACCCCAGGATTTATTGCAAAGTTCAACAGGTTAGAAAATAACAAATGCTGGTGAGGATGTGGAGAGATTGGGACTCTCGTACACTGCTTGTGAGATTGTAAAATAATACAACTACTGTGGAAAACAGTATGGTGATTCCTTGAAAAGGTGAAAGTAGAAGTACCATTTGACCTGGTGATCCCATTACTACATACATATCCTAAAGAAGTGAGAGCCAGGACAAGAATAGATATATGAACACCCATGTTCATCACAGCAATATTTACAATACAAAAAGATGAAACAACCTACGTGCCCATCAACAGAAGAATGGATGACCAAATTATACTACATACACACAATGGATTAGTATGCAACACTGAAAAATAATGT